GATGGCCACCTCCTGGCCCCGCCAATGATTTTAGTGACAAATGCAGAGGAAAACAGTTCTCATTGAGAGGAAAACTGGTATTACCCACCGCTATGACATTTGTGTTTACTGAATAGCTTTACTTCATCATAAAGTTTTCTCTCCCAGCATGCAGCCTGTCCAAAATCATGCAAAATTCTCCAAAACAAAAAAAACTGCAATTACTCTCATTGCCGATGTCTTTTGATGTCGTTCCAAAAGGAATTCTGGATGATTTCGATGATGATAGAGATCAGAGAGGGTCCAAGTGACTACCTTTGCCAAATTTTGTCCAGGTTCTACATTGTAAGTACATATATAGAGTTAAGACATGCCAATCTTTATAAACCAATAACAGGGAAGTTATTTCGAACTGCTTCAGATAATTAAACAAGTACCGGCCGCTTAAAGGCGGTCTCAGCCTCGGAGCACAGTTCGTGGAAGGTTGAGAGAAATTACTATCAATGTGATTTACTTGTAATTAATTGAAAGATTTTAACTTCAAAGACTAGGACGTGAACACAATAAAGCTAATTGTGATAGACCCCCAGCTGTTTTTTTTTTTTTTTTGCCAAATTTAACTTACTACCCCTGAGTCCTTTTGTTGCAGAGAGACCTTCCGAGTGAAGTTGTTTTGACCCTTATCAGGTGGCCTACCTGCAACAATAGATTTTCACCCAGGGGGTCTACCTGAAATAATAAAACTCCTTCAGGGGGTTTGTCTGCAACAATAGAACTACAAGGGTAGTTAAGTTCAATTTGGGCTTTGTTTCGGAAACAGTCAGATATTACTCCCTGTTAGCTCACAAGTCGTACGTAGATTTGGGCTTTGTTTCGGAAGAAAGTCCACGTTGAATGAATTTGATTCAAGCAGCATGGGACTTCCTCTTAGGCCCCGTTTGGTTGCAAAAGAAAAAGCCTGATAAAAGCCTGACTTTTATCAAGCTTTAAGCCAAAATCGCCTCTTAAAGAGGCGATTTTGGCTTAAAGCCTGACAAAATTCAGGCTTTTGTCAGGCTTTCAGCCTTGTTATTATGCAACCAAACGGGGCCTTAGATGGTATGTAAGCATTTCCCTTGGATTGTGGTCCTCTTTTTCTGAAAGATCGAGGTAGTTCTCTTCTTAATGTTTGAGGGTACGCACGTGACTATCAGGCAAGAGGAAAAGTAATAAAAGAACCTTAGGCTCTGAGTTGAAGAATTGAAAGGACAAGTCTGCAAAAGATTCTGAATAAACAATGTCGTATTTTTTTTTTTTTTTGATATATAGTGATGTCGAATGAAAACATGAAAACAATCTATTTGGTTTCAATCAGAAGGAAGGGGGGCGAAGATGAAATAAGTGTTAAGACTAAAGAGTAATGCAACACGGCCGGTCATCAAGTTGCGAGCACGCAATCGAAAGCCAAAGCCAAAACCAAAAGGACTCTCGATCTTCTTCCAAGCTATCAAGAATTCCTGGTAAAGAGTACAAATCATATCAAAAATACCTCGTCTGTGGGTACGTGGGGTGTTCTCAACTGAGCATGAGGGTGGTCGCAAATCTCAAACAGTCGCCGTCAACCACCAATGTAAAGCTCGATCAAAACTGTCAGGGACGGGAGATCAATCTGGAGCTCGAAGTGTTAGTTCAATCCTCTTCCATGATAGTTCTGTTTGTACAAGCTCGGAGGAAGGAAGCCTTGAAGGAAGCCTGTACGGGAGGTAATCAAGTTGGAACCTGTCAAGTGCAGCTGGAACCTGTCAAGTGCAATGAGCAGCTGTTACTGTCAAGTGCAATGAGAAGGTTGAAGCTGGAGAACATGGAAACAAGAGTTTGAAGTGATGCTTAAGACCTGGAACTGTTATACAATGCTTTAGATCGTAATAAATGCTAAGAGTTAGTTAGGAACAGAATTAACTATTTCTGTTGAAGTTGTTACAGTGTGTGCACGTTTCTGTTTTCTCTGTGTTTTGATGAGAGCTGTATAGATGAGAAGTTGTAACACTGAACAAATTATGAAGGGATAAAATTAGAGCTCTGTTCTTCTTCTGAAACTCACTTCCTGTTCCCTTTCTCTCTTTCTCTCTCAATCTTCAATCTTGTCTAAATTTCTCTCAATTTCCTTTTCTATCTTCTCTCAAATTTCACCACAGGCACAACCATGGCTGTGAATGGGCTCAGAAAGATGAGCAGGGGTTTCGGAACCTCACAAAAACACCCCCAATCGCATGTTTGAACTCGCTGTCGACCAATTCCTAACTTTCCTTTCGAGGCATGTATGTCTAAAATAAGCATATAGTCCTCGTAATCTACTCACATCATCTTCATCAAATTCTCCGCCGCAGTTTTTCATCCGGTACGACACCACGTACGCTTTCGACATGCTAGTTACAACTGTTCATGTTATCCAGGTACGTCGACCATGCCGTATAACACATGTTCATTCTGAATACGTACGTCCGTATCAGTCAGTGAGACTCCCAACGCAAAGACAGAGCGAGCCTGAAAGGAGAAGTCCAGTTTGCTGGTGAGGTTGGTCGATAAATTTGGCACAGAAAGACGTTCGGAACAACAATTGAGTTGGAGGAGGGAAATGCATTGGTGGGATTAATTAATGGGCCAAAATGTTGTCCTTGGGTGAGTGAAGATGGATCCCTTAAAAATCTAGAAAGTTTGCACATAACCGATTGGAATGCATGCGAACGGCGCTCGAGGAGATGAACGAACCCCTTGGCAGCCTCGAGGATCACAGCGCAAGAGACTATCCATATAGAATCGACTCTGATACCATGTTAAATAATTCGAAGTAGAATGATAGAGTAGATTAACTTTATTTGTTTTGTTTCTTCACTCCATCTCTTGGGTCTGTTCGTTTCCACTTATTTTGCATCCCCACATTAAAAAAAATGGGATCATCAATTTAAAAATAATGGAGTTTTAGCAAATATATTGTTTGTTCGTCATTTTTTATACGCGGATTTAAGGTTGCTATATAGAATAAATGTGTCAAGTATAATTCTCTAAAGTTATGCTGATTTCAATCAGATTTGTGAATTTAGTCATATATCCTTAACAAAATTCGTGTATAACCAAACAAAATTTGATTGGATTTTAACCCTCATGCAAATCCTCTTTAATATTAATGGATTTTGTAAAATCCATAACTAAAATTGCGTTTATTTGTGATAGATATTAAAGAGGATTTGCATCAAGGTTATAATTCAATCAAATTAAATTCCCCGAACTCTCAGACTACGAAGCTTGGAGATTTTGGAGTCATGCTCACAAGTTGAATAAAACTGTTTATTTTGATGAAAATTTCAAACCCACAAGACTTACAAATAAATTTGTTCAGTTTGATGATATTATAAGAAATTTTCTCAACTAAAATTCATTGGAGATGGATTTTATTTTAATCGGATTTCTCACAGTTTTCTTTTATATCAACCTCTTGTATCTCATGTTAATAATGATTGATAATGAATTCATGCATTTTGTAGAAAAAAGAATTGTTTAGTTTCTTCAATGAATTCATCCACTTTGCAAAAAATGGAGCTTTTTAGTTTCCTCAGAAATCTTAACAATCGAATGAGAAATTTTTCAAGGAAAAAATTGTCTGTGGAAAGATGTGAATGCCTTTAAAATAAATCAGGATTAAACTTTGGTTTATAGGGAAAAAATCTATCTACACTCGCAATGATGTAACATTAGTGTGAGGAATGCAAAAATAGCGATAGTTAAGCATTTGATTGAAAAATACATTTTATAACTAACAAGTTAAAATAAAAATATAGCAAGTAATAAGCAACTAACATTGTATATATATGGTTTAAAAATACATCATATACTTAATCACTTAGAAAAAATATATATATAGCAAGTTTAAAAATATTACAACTTACATTCTACAACAAACGATTGAAATAAAAAATGGATTCAAAGATAAATTGGTAGAGTATTTTAGGCGTAAGAATGATTTTGAAGTGGTGGGTTTAAAGATAATTGAGCAATAAAACTTTGGGTCTCTAGGAAAAACATTGGAGTTAGGAATTGGTTGGATTGAAATGTGGCAAAGATTTGGGTCTACAGGCAAGAAGCATAACTCTGAAAGTTGCATGGGTATCAAAATAACTGCGGGAAACTTTGGCTTTATAAGTGAAGGAACCCCGACAAATTTTTTTCTCCACTTGATCAACGCCAGTTTCACTGTAGCAATGGTCTTCATCGAAACAATATATAACTGAAATTTCTCATGCTGACAGTCAAAGTCAATGGTGTGGTGAACAGGCTCTCGCAAAATGGTGTCGAAATTAGTCCCTTAAAAGTTCAAATCATTGATATTTCGGATAGTCACTAAAACTGCGGCATGCACTTCTCGAACTTTAGTGGGTGGAAAAGACTACAAGAGCCAAAGCACAAGTATTTTGATAACCAATTTCTTTTCTTAAATTGAGTTGAAGGAATATTACACGAAGGGGGGTCACACATTTCTGGGTGGATCAACTTCCCCAAGAGTATTCACAAAAGAAACCACCCTGCTCTCCACATAACAAAAGTTAATCTCCCACGAAGAACAATGACCATCTTAACCTCATCAATACATTCTTTAACACGTACACACAGCAACAAAAACAGCCAAGAGTGATGAAATACATGCCAGCAAGCAAAGGTTCAAATTTACGGATGCGACAGCGAGAAGCAATGCCCGAAGCAAGATTTCACGCTTCGACCGCATTGATATATGCTACCCTTCTGGAGGACCATGGCAGTCGCTCTCTCCAGGATGCTAACAAAACTGGGCAGCCTGCAATCTGTACCACATACAGCATATGATGGTTAATGAACATTCAATGAAATAACAAGTACATCGCTCATGATTTAAGTACTAGGGTCATAATAATATTTGCTCATGATTCAGGAGTCATTTAGTAGTTTGGAATTGGACTTGCAATGTAACTATCATATGCATCTGAGTTAACTCTTGACACCTCGTGTGGACTCCGGTACCTGTGTCCCACATGTGTCCGACTACAACACTTCTTGGACACACCTTGAATATGCAAACATTTATTCACACGCATGCTCAAGTATAATATACTTGTTTTGGATTAAAACACTGGTCATACACATCTTGGACGTGTATTTCACACTTCAGATTCATTTCTAATGAAGGATGGTTTAAAGGTCAAATCAAGATTTGGTTGAAGAGTCATGATCTAGCGGAAAGACTAAGGTTAAAATTTTAAATTAGTGTTTGATTTAAATTATAATTCTAGGATAAAGTTATTTTGAGTCTGAATTACGATAGGAATAGAATTTTATTTAAGTTTAAATTCTAATTTTGAATTCCAGTAGATATTGGAATTTCAGCCCGGTAAATATGTGTAATGCTTTCCTTGTAATTAGATAAACTCTTTAATACTCTGCAAAATTGATGATTTATCCATAAAAAATTTCTAAAAATTGATAAGATCAGATAAGTTTTACATTATAAACCCTCCATTCAAAAATCGAATTTTTTGTATATTGAATTGAATGATCTCGGTGATAAATTTGAATATGAAAATTTTGAGAAGAGCATGCTATATGCTAAGATGGGCATATGAATTGCCAAGGCATAAAGCCATCGTTTTTTAGCAAAAAATCATTTCCAATTTAAATAAATGCATTGTTCATCTTTGTTTTCCAACTTCGTTTTGTTTTCTTTCTGGTGAACCCAAAAGAATAAAAATGAATCCTGTCAATCACCTGCATTTTGCATCAATTTTTTTTTCTGTAGTGTGGAATCTATCTAACCCAAACCGGCCACATCACACTTCAACAAAAATTGCAGAACCTCTTCCCTCCACTATTTATTTTTTCCACGAGAACAGATTGCGGAAAACCCTCCTCCACATCAGCTTCTCATAGACTTCTTGGACATACATTCCACACTTCACATTCACTTCTTGCAACTTTTTGGACACGTTTCGAGTTCATTTCAGCCCACACCCAATTTAGAAATATGATTTTATAGTATGTTAGGTATCTAGTTCAAAAACGAGCAATTTTCCAATTTATAATCTACGTAAGAAATGGAACATTTTAGTTTTCATAAGCTGCAAATGAAAAACAAAACCAATCTCATGTAAATTATTACTTTCAATATGTATATATATTTAATTGTGTCCTCATATCCTACATTTTACAAATTTGACGTGTTCCGTAACTGTGTCCGCACGCGCACAACGCCCATGTAACATAGATATGTTGGCAACTGAGATTGTTATGATTGTTAGTGCATAGAAACATAGTTCAACTTGTTTGTTTCATCTTTAAAATTATGCAGCTCAAACTTTTAACTGTGGTTGTAGTTGTTTGTTCCTACTAGCAACTCCTCACAAAGGACCTTTTTTCTCTCTCAAGAATAGGCCATCATAATGTTCAATTGTATTGCAATATTCTATTTTCAAGTCAAAACCATGAATATTTTCCCGAAAATTATTTCCAAAAAAAACATTTCCAATAAAAATTCTTAACTTCTGAGCAAAACATTTTCCCCATGTTTCTGTTGCAGCTAGATAAAGTATTGATCCACATGATAATAATTATATTGATTTATTATGGTATTTGAATTCTTATCCTATAAAGAGTTGTAGTGAATTGAGATAAAATCATATTTACATATAGTTCACCTGATGGATGGAAACTGTCTTTTAAGAAGTCTTATCATTTAAGAATTCCAATTATAACAGAAAGGTCCTAACCTAGCCTATAAATACAGTCTTAGTTCCTCCATCAAATTTAAACTATTCAGTAAGGCATATGCTAGAAACTCTTTTTGTATTTCTTTATTTTATTTATTTTAACGACGACCTAATTTTTATTCTTTGTTTCTGTATATGTTCAGATTATTACTAAATTTGATCTAATTTTCGGAGTTACAGATCGTTCTAGGCAATAATGACTGAAGGTATCTTTTAATTTAATTTATTTTCGTTGTGTATTCTATATTTATTTAAATTACAATTTCTAACTTTTGGTATCAGAGTCAACTCCATCTATGTTGTCTAGAAAAAATTTTAAGATTTCGAATCTATGTTATTGTGTTTTGCTGTTTCAGGTGTTTAAAAAATATTATTTGATCGACCGCATCTAGCCCATGACAACGATATTACAAAGTAACAATTGAAATAAAAGAACTGCATAAAAGTTGTGTTCGTTTCGAACTAGCACTTTAGATCTTGTTGTTTTTTGTCTTTTTGTTCCTATGCTTATGAGGTTCATGAAATTCATCATCTTTATTTTGCTTTGCATTGTATTAAAGAACAACTTGTGCTTCTTAAGACATGCTAAATATTTGCTTTTTTAATATTTTATAAAGTATGCATGAAAGCTATTAATTTGCTCTCTGTGCAAGTGTCGGCCACTACTAGTTTCTTTGGGCATCCATATGATTAATTTGTTTCATTAATATTTCTAAATATTTGCATTCTAAATGTTGTTTGGGTGTCACGTGTATTATGCAAACTACTTGGATGGCGGTTATATTAGCATCATGGTAATCTAGCACATGCAAAGCAAAGATTTATTTTAGTTGATTTTAACAAAAGTATACATGCTTTCGATTAGATCTACAACTGCATGTTTTAATCACCAATTCAAGTTTTTTTATGTAGAACTGTTTTGATGACACAGGCTTTATCATGCTCCTGTAAATTTTTTAAAAATGTAGTTCTTTATAAATTGAAAGTAATAAAGTTATGTTATGCAGCTTTCATTCATAATGAATGCAATTTTTATTAAAATTCTAGATGTAAAGTTCACGAGACACTTTCAACTATTAAAGTTATTTTTTCTCTTATAAAATATGGACTTAAAGTTTGGGTTTATGATGTCTTGAAGTAATAATGAATACGGAATAACTTAAAAGAGTAGTCATAGCATCTTAGGTCATGAGAATAGTCGAATGATGATTAGCATATTTCATTAAGTTTTAAACAGCTAATTCAAAGAAATAGTAACTCGGGCCCATAGGGAAGTTATTATAGTTTTGAGTTAATTGGGATAAGATATTAAAATAATATTAAGAAATGAATTTTTCCTAGGCTCATATGTATGGAATAATTTATTTATTGATATTAATTTTTATCAGTTTTATTAATAAAGTAAAAATAAATTCATGTGTGATGCTACATCTACCCATAGGAAGGTTAGAATTTATTTTTATCCTAAATTGACATTGGTTGTTTAGAACTCAAGATTTATTTCATAGCACTAAAGTTTAAATTCCTTGATTATTGCAGCTATTCCTACTGCTTATGATGTTCCAATACTTTGTTGTGATAATCTGATGATTGGAAAGTTAAAATCCTTTTCTCAATAGGGTGCACGGATCTGAACTTATCGTTTCATATGCATCAACCATTTGATCCTACAGAGGAAAGTACGCCACATTTGAAACAAATGTGTGAATGGTGGGAAAGATTAAACCGATTAAGTTTGATTCATATTAAGCCTTATGTTAGTAAGAGTATCCAAGGAAATATTTCAGATGGCTATAAGGCCAAAGACTACTGAAAAACCATTGAGGAGTAATTTGCTAGCTTGGATTAAGCTTTGGCTAGTACCTTGATGAAGAGCCTTTCAAGTAAAACATTCAACCACTCTAAAAGTGTGCGTGAGCACATTATGGAAATGAGGGACACCGCTACTCAACTCAAGTCTTGAGATAGAAATTTGTGAGTCATTCCTAGTGCATT